AGCTGTTATCTTTGTAGGTTAACACGGGCCAAAGAATGGCATCTTACTGGGTGCATTCACTTCCCAACTGTTCCAGGACACGGCCCCAAATCTGTCCTTGTTGCCATCTAAGGATTCAGAGCAGACTATCAGCCTTGCTAGTCAGTGAAATAAAAATGCAAGATTTGCAGGGGAGTGAGTGAGCGAGTGCTCTGGGGCACGGAGGGCTTTTCTTCCATTGCCTTGCAATTTGGAAGGTTGCCATCCATTCAGGTTTTACTCAAACAGGCTTTTTCCAGACCCCAGAACAAACTGTAGCCAGAAGCTCTGCTCTTTGTCAGGAGGCAGTTGCAGCTCAGAGCTAGCCAAGATCTTGCCCTCTCCCTTCAGAGAAGAACAACTTCTCTTTATGTGTAGAGATCCATCCGGCTCTTATTTTACCCAAGGGATGGGACGCAGCCCCTAGTTACTAGCAACAACTGTCCTAGGGTTTCCATTTTGTTTTTAGCATTGTCCAGATTACATCGGGATCTCTGGATATTACATCTTCTTAATGTTGTCGTACAGCCCCTTCGGAAAACGATTTTGTAGTCCCTCAGAAAGATGTAGAGCTACCGTATGACCCAACAATTCCACTCGTAGGTATATACCCAAGAAAACTAAAAACATACATTGTTGTTGTTAGGTGCCGTCAAGTCAGTTCTGACTCATAGCGACCCTATGCACAACAGAACAAAACACTGCCTGGTCTTGTGCCGTCTTCCCAATTGTTGCTATGTTTGAGCCCATTGTTGCAGCCACTGCGTCAGTCCATCTCGTTGAGGGTTTTCCTCTTTTTCACTGACCCTCTACGAAGCATGATGTCCTTCTCCAGGGACTGGTCCCTCCTGATAACGTGTCCAAAGTACATGAGACGAAGTCTCGCCATCCTCACTTCTAAGGAGCGTTCTGGCTGTACTTCTTCCAAGACAGATTTGTTCGTTCTTTTAGCAGTCCATGGTATATTCAATATTCTTTGCCAACACCATAATTCAAGGGCATCAATTCTTTTCCTGTCTTCCTTATCCATTGTCCAGCTTTTGTATGCATATGAGGTGACTGAAAATACATGGCTTGGGTCAGGCACACCTTAGTCCTCAAAGTGATATCTTTGCTTTTTAACACTTTAAGGAGGTTTGCCTGATGCAATATGTCCTTTGATTTCTTGACTGCTGCTTCCATAGGCATTGATTGTGGATCCAAGTAAAATGAGATCCTTGACAACTTCAATATTTTCTCTGTTTATCATGATGTTGCTTATTGGTCGAGTTCTGGGGATTTTTGTTTTCTTTATGTTGAGGTATAATCCGTACTGAAGGCTGTAGTCTTTGATCTTCATCAGTAAGTGCTTCAAGTCCCCTTCACTTTCAGCAAGCAAGGTTGTGTCGTCTGCATATCGCAGGTTGTTAATGAATGAGTCTTCCTCTCATCCTGATGCAGCGTTCTTCTTCACGTAGTCCAGTTTCTTGGATTATTTGCTTAGCGTACAGATTGAGTAAGTACAGTGAAAGGATGCGACCCTGACATACACCTTTCTTGATTTTAAACCACACAGTATCCCTTTGTTCTGTTCGAACAACTGCCTCTTGGTCTATGTACAGGTTCCCCATGAGCACAATTAAGCGTTCTGGAATTCCCATTCTTCACAGTGTTATCCATAATTTGTTACGATCCACGCAGTCGAATGCTTTGCATAGTCAATTAAACACCTAATATAGGTAACTGAAATGACTTAAGTCTTCCCTCTTAACCTTTCTTCTTCTTTAACCACTGCAATTTAGTGAAGCAAAATAAATAGAACCCAGTGGCCTTTGTCGGAAGCCCCAGGCAATTAACCTTTTGAGGAGCTGCATACAAGTTAGAGATCTGTGAACCCAGGTAGGTTGCATCAAGTTTAACCCCTTGCACAGAAAGTTAAAACCAGTAAGCCCAGTTCCTATTTTGTGATCAGATATTGCTCTCCTTTGTTAAGGATCAACTTTCTTTCCTTTTAAGGCAAAGAATCCCTTATACAATAGAGCCGTTAAAACAATCCAGTTGTCTACAAAGGGGATAATGGAATTGCTCTATATCTTGAATGTGTGGTGGCTACATGACTGTATATGGGTATAAAAACTCATGACACTACCCATTTAAAAGGGTGATTTTTACAGTAGGTAAATTATACCTCAGTTAAAAACACCAACAGCAATCTGGTTTAGTAACAACGAAGAATGTGTCACATACAATACCAAAGCAGAAAAAAAAAAAAATTGGCTCCTATAAAGTGTATATATGAATGAGAGGAAAGAAATCAGGAAAATTTTAAATTGTATTATGTTGAATGAGGAGATAATTTTTCCTGTAAAATTTTCTTTGTAGTTGATGGTATGAGTTTTGGAGTTGTGAATACGTTTTAAACTTAAGATGAATGTGTGTTACATTTATAAAAATATATGGCGCTGTACACTTAGGATTAGTTCACTTTATGTTATACCTCAGTCAAAAAGTTTTTCTTAAGCTTAGAGAAAAGCTTCTGAGTAGTGGTCACAAGGGTGTATAACCAAATCAAAAAATTCATCCCCTTAAATTTGTGCAGCCTACCATATATTATTGTGGATTCAAGTAAAATGAAATCCTTGACAACTTCAGTATTTTCTCCGTTTATCATGATGTTGCTTATTGGTCCATTTGTGAGGATTCTTGTTTTATGCTGAGGTGTAATCCATACTGAAGGCTGTAGTCTTTGATCTTCATCAGTAAGTACTTCAAGCCCTCTTTGCTTTCAGCAAGCACGATTGGATCCTGTCATCTGCATATCTCAGGTTGTTAATGAGTCTTCCTTCTATCCTGATGCCGCATTGTTCTTTATATAGTCTAGCCTCTCGGATTATTTGGTCAGATTGAATAAGTATGGTGAAAAGGATACAACCCTGACGCACACCTTTTCTGATTTTAAACCATTCAGTATCCCCTTGCTCTGTTCGAAAGACTGCCTCTTGGTCTATGTATACATTCTGCACAAGCACAATTGTTTTGGAATTCCCATTCTTTACAATGTTACCCACAATTTGTTATGAAATGCCTGTGCATAGTCAATAAAACACAGGTAAACATCTTCCTGGTATTCTCTGCTTTCAGCCAGGATCCATCTGACATCAGCAATAATATCCCTCATTCCACGTCCTCTTCTGAATCTAGCTTGAATTTCTGGCAGTTCCCTGTCAATGTACTGCTGCAACCGCTTTTTAATGATCTTCAGCAAAATTTTACTTGCGTGTGATATTAATGATATTGTTCAATAATTTCTGCATTCGGTTGGATCACCTTTCTTGGGAATAGGCGTAAATATAGATCTCTTCCAGCGGGTTGGCCAGGTAGCTGTCTTCCAAATTTCTTGGCATAGACCAATGAGCACTTCCAGCGCTGCATCTGTTTGTTGAAACATCTCAGTTGGTATTCCGTCAATCCCTGGAGCCTTGTTTTTTACCATCGCCTTCAGCGCAGCTTGGACTGCTTCCTTCACTACCATTGGTTCTTGATCATATGCTACCTCCTGAAATGGCTGAACGTCGGCCAATTCTTTTTGGTATGGTAACTCTGTGTATTCCTTCTACCTTCCTTTGATGTTTACTGCGTCATTCAATATTTTGCCCATAGAATCCTTCAAAATTGCAACTCGAGGCTTGAATTTTTTCTTCAGTTCTTTCAGCTTGAGAAATGCCGACCATGTTCTTCCCTTTTGGTTTTCTAACTCCATGTCTTTGCATATTTCATTATAATACTTTATTTGGATCCACAATCAACGCCCATAAAAGCAGCAGTCAAGAAATCAAATAATGTATTGCATTGTGCAAATCTGATGCAAAAGACCCCCTTCAAGTGTTAAAAGGAAAAGATGTCACTTTGAGGACTAAGGTGTGTCTGACCCAAGCCATGGCATTTTCAATCACCTCATGTGCATGGGAAAGCTAGACAATGAATAAGGAAAACCAAAGAATTGATGCCTTTGAATTATGGTGTCGGCAAAGAATAGTGAATACACCATGGTCTGCCAGAAGAATGAACCAATGTGTTTTGGAAGAAGTACAGTCAGAATGCTCCTTTAGAAGGGAGGATGGCGAGACTTCCTATCCCGTACTTTGGATATGTTATCAGGAGGGACCAGTCCCTGGAGAAGGACATCATGCTTGGTAAAGTAGAGGGAAAAAGAGGAAGACCCTCAATGAGATGGATTGACATAGTGGCTCCAACAATGGGCTCAAACATAGCAACCACTGGGGGATTACGAGGATGCGCAGGACCAGGCAGTGTTTCGTTCTGTCGTACATAAGAGTCGCTGTGAGTTGGAACGGACTCGATATACATCATTAAAAAAAAAAAGAGAAAGAAATTGAAACTCTCCATGCTGGCGCTGTCGTGGACGAGCGGTCAAGTCCACCCGCTAACAGTTCACCTGATTCATCCCCAGAACAGGCCTCCAGGCGCGAGCCCCACCTTCACAGTCTGGAGCAGTACCCCGGCTCCCGCGCGGTCTGCAGCCCAGGCGCCTGCAGGGGGCGCCTCCCGGGCACCCGTTGCCGTCGGGCACACTGGGGAAAGGTCAGAGGTATTGACGGTCCTCAACCCGAAGCCCACCGGGCCTCCCCGGGCCGGCCCGCCACTCCGCTACCCGAGGCCGCGCTGACGTCACCGTCCCGCCCCGCCCCCTTTCCCGGCGTGCGCCTCGGCAGAGGCTCCTCGCCCTCGGCTTCTGCTTGTCGCCCCAAGATGGCGGACACAATGAGCCGGCGCCGCGCCGGTTGGCCCTGAGGCGACTGTGAGGAGGAACAGTCGGCGAGGCCCCGCAGTCCGCGTAGGAGGGTGTTGCACGAGCAGGAAGAGGCGGCGGCTCGACTGTCGGCCGCCCTCCCGCTCGCCGCAAGCGCGGCGTCGGCCCCGCCCGGGTTGGCCCCTAGGCAGCCAGCCCGCCCGCCCGCTCGCCGCCCGGCCCCGCCCCGGCCTTGCGCCGCTGCCACCGCCTCCAGCAGCCGCCGCCATGAAGCTGACCGACAGCGTGCTGCGGAGCTTCCGCGTCGCCAAGGTGTTCCGCGAGAACTCCGACAAGATTAACTGCTTCGATTTCAGCCCCAACGGCGAGACCGTCATTTCGAGCAGCGACGACGACTCCATCGTGCTGTATGACTGCCAGGAGGGCAAGTGAGTGTGGCGGTGGCCTCGGGCCCGGTCTGAGTCCCTCCTGTGGCCCGGCACTCGCCCCGCGGCCCGCCCTCCAGCCCCCGGCCTGTTTTGCGCTCGCTCCTGCAAGGGCCGCCTTCACCCTGCAGTCGGCCGGGAGACCTGTCTTTCCTATTATTATCATCATCGTAGTCATCATCAACATTATTTTATGTCTTCGGTCTCCACAGAGAGCTTCTGCGTCTCTTGCCAAACCTCACCTTGACCTTGACCTTTAAACGCCCCAACCGCCCACCCGGGTCCCGCAGGTTGCGTTTTGCGCTCTTCAGGCTCTGTCGGAGGTGCCCGTTGGCTCTGGCCCCGACGCCGAACCGCAGGGGTTGCGCTCCTGCCCCATACACTAGCGTCATCCCTCTCTGCCCTCTTCTCGTGACCTCGATTCAGCCCTGGCACTCCGCCCGTCCTAGCCTGCCCCTCAGTTTCCCGCGGCCTTTCTGCAGTGAGGTCGGGTGTTTGCAGATCTTAGCTGTCAGGATTTTTATTTGTAGTGCCTCTTGGGCCCCTGTCCTTTCCTTCCTGTTCCAGCCCATTCTCTTACCACCCAGACCTGGTGCCCACGTTTATAGTGAACTTGTTAACACCATCTGAAACTTTTCCTTCCTCTATTATTTCTTTTTGCCAGACTCAAACGAACTTGGCCGTCCCGTCCCACCTGAATGTGAGCGTCCGTTAGAACAAAGAAAGCGTCGTGTAATAAATTCGTGTTTTCTCTTCTACTTTTTTTTTTTTATTATTATTATACTGTATGGTCCACATGGAATTATCAAAATTCCAAATCTGAGCATGAAACTTTTCCGTTGCCCCAAGTTCTCTGGAGACCCGCCACACCTGCATCTCTTTGCAAAATCTACAAGTACAGCAGTTTCCTTGGGCCCCTTGTAGCCTCGCCTCACCCCTGTGGATTGGATTTGCTTTCTCCAAGTCCCTGCTAAGTTGTGAGCTCCTTTGGAGCAGAAACTGGTTTGAGCTAAATTTGATATCCCCTCATGCACCCTCTCCAAGCAGGCTTGCGGATGTTTGGTTTTATTCTGTGGCTACTGGTTTTGTCAGACTTCATTTCGTTATCTATTTTCTCTAATTCTCCAGGGGTTTCTTTTGCCCTTTTTTTTCTTTTTTAAACTGGTGTTTATAAACTTTCTTTTGGAAGTTTTCATTTGTGAATTTGGTTATCTAGAGTAGTGCTACTTTGATCTGAGCTATGATGTTTTCGCTGATTTTTTCCGCACAGAGGCTTATGAGAAAGTATTAGTAATTGACTCTGAATCTGCTTGCAGTGTATAGAAGAGTTGCCTGCAGTGGTGGTCCTGGGGGAGAGGGAATTGTTAGTTGGACTGAGTCTGAGTTGTTTGAGTCTGTGTTATTTATTTAGTAGATGGATTCTTGTCCAGGTCTGGCTTAGAAGAGAGAGTAACGTTTAAAGCTGGGGTGGAGGTGAGGTTCTGGAGTCCTGGAGCCAGAAGAAATTTGAAGCTGGCTTGCTTGAAATGTTGAATGTTTGTACGCAGATTAGAACCTCTCCCTGGCACCTGAGGCCAGAGGTGTATTCCCTCATTCAAAAGTAATGAAGATACCTGTTTCTTCATAGTTTCTCTGCATATGTGGTATAATTTTGAATTGTTGGCAGGTTTGATAGTAACGTGAAGTCCTGTCTTGTGAGAAGTAAAATGCCAATTTTATGGTGTAATGCAATTAATTCACCCAGGTAACATTTATACATAATTACAAATTCATAGAAAAGTTGTAACAGTGTTCCAGAGAATTCCCATATGCTTCACCAGTTGATTTCATTTTGTCCCATTTGTTTCATCATTCTATGTAAATATTTATATGTACTCATATTGTTTCCCATGAGCCATTGATGAGTAAGTTGTAAGTATCAAGTTCTTTTATCCCTAAGCAATTCAGCATGGATTTCCTAAGGACGAGGACATTCTTTTACATAACCAGAACACAGTTAACCCAAATTAGGAAATTTAATATTGATACAGTACTATAGGACATGCTCTTTTAAATTTTCTTCCATCAATTGTGACCTTGTTTTATTGTGACCTGTGGTGAGATGAGCAACCTGGTAGTTAGGAAGACGGGTTTGTCCTTCTAACCATCTATGTGACTTTGGTCAAATCATTTCTCTGGGTATTGGATGACCATTACCTCCAAGGCCTCTTTAGCCTCCAGGAGTCTATGATTCTAAGTAGTAATGTGAAAAAAGTTTTGCCACTAGTGTACATCAACACTGGAAGAAAAGTGATGTTTCCTTGGATGGCATAGTATCTTTATTAGATGAAGTTTTAGAATTTAGAAGCTTAAGAAACAAGATTCTTTTATGCTTAGTAGTTTTCAGTTTACTGTTTATTTAATCATTGTCTACGGTAGAGATCATCTGATGAGTGATTTTTCAGCTTCGAAGAGTATAAAGGATATTGTTTGTGGTAGTTGATGTGAACCATTCAAAGAGAAGGCATTAACATTATTTTCTTTGTTCGTACCTGATTTCCAGAACCATAGTTTGAAGCAAGGAGCTTACCAAAAAACTTGTGAAAAAATGTTGTGCGTGAACTTTGAAAAGTCCCCCTGAGATGGGTGCAATTTACATTAGGGTCTTGCTTTCAGATATAAAATGAAAGAAGTAATTTCTGTTATTAGGAACAGGTCTTAAGTTAGTGTTACTGACAAATTTAAGACAAATAGGCCATATCTAAGTGGAACTGAAAGTTTTTCTCATACCACACCTTTAACACTGGTTCTTCAGGCTCTGTCCTCACTATTGTAGATCAGCTGAAATACCCCAGGATAAGCTTCTCGGTCCGCTGGTAGAAGCAAAGACAACTACCTTCTGAGTGCAAATACACTCTCACTGGTTACCTCACAGTAACCCAAGGGTAGAGCAATGGTTGATGGACTCATCAAGGTAGCCTTTGAGCCAATCTTTTTTGGGGTGAGGCATTATTTCAGTAAAGGTAAGAATGTGGGAAATGTAGTGTATCAGGAGGGAGGAGTCTTATTTGGAAATAGACTTTTATGTTGGCCTCACTGATATTAACAAAGATTGAAAATGTGTAATGGTTTACTTCTTAAGGCTACCTGAGTTGTCTGATTGTTTAGCTTCTAGGTTCCAAGAGGATTTTACTTCTTTCTTTTTCATAAATTGAAACTCTTGGTAAACATTGGTATGGGACTTATGAAATCCTCCCAGGACCTATGTGTAGAACATTATGTTAAAAGCTTTCTTGTTTTCTGACTTGATGCACATGGGAGAGTTGTTCTAGCGTGGGAATCTAGTTTTACATAGGTATTTGGGAGATAACAAAAAGTTTTGTCTTACTTAAGCAGTGGGTGAGAAAGTTTTCGGTTAAAGATTTTACTGAGATCAGTTTCAGCTGATCTTCAAGGTTCTGTAGAGGAAGGCATTCAAGGAATGTCAACAAATGGATTGATAAGCTCTAAGCTTGGAAATGTGTGATTTTACATTAATGTAAAAAGAAAAGAACCCTTGACTAGTTTTGCTAGGAAACAGGTTGGCTCTTCTAAAAGGCTCCACAAGTGCTTTGGACTTGTAGGATAGGGAGGAGGAGATCTTCCGCAAGAGCAGGTTATATTAGGAAAAGCAAGCAGTTTGCATCACTGCCTTCTTGAAGAAAAAGCTTCTAAGTGAATGGCTTAAGAACAGTCTGACCTCTTGGATTTGGCGTTGTCAAAGTTTTGACTTTTGTTATTTTGTGTGCCTTTCCTCCCAAATAGATGTACTTTTCTCTTACTCAAAGCTTACTTTTGAACATGGTAGTAAAGACTGAATTGAGGCCCCAGATTAACTTTCACTTCCTAACCTCAGCGTTAGGTGTCCAGAGGCAAATGGCTTCTTAGACATCTCTTGCACTTGATTAATTCAGTTTGTTTCTCTCTTTTGTTGGAAGAAATTCTGTTTCTTTCCGGTGTTAGAGCTTACCAAAGAATCCTCACCCTCACCACATCACCAAGTGTTTCTCTTTATATAGAGGTCCCAGATTTTGGTGATGGAGGATTTTGATGGTTTTCTTTCTCCGTTCATTTATTCTTCAGACCAAAGAGAACCCTGTACAGTAAGAAATATGGTGTGGACCTCATCAGATACACACACGCGGCAAACACAGTCGTTTACAGCTCTAACAAAATAGACGGTAAGCAAGCCTTCTTTTTTAGGATGTTACGGTCATGATTTCTTTTGTTAAATTGTTCATAGAATCTTTGTGACTTACTTCTGCTTTGGTTATAGTTCCTTTAATTTAAATATTTTCCTCCAATGTTAACAAAGTTAATTACCTTGTTACAACTGAAGGAATGCCGGAAGCAAGCACCATCACTAGCCCTTTTGAAGAACTTGGAACTGGGTGTGAAATTTCTCCAGTTGAGAGTGGGGAGTGGGGAAAGGAAACAATGGATTGCATTTATGGTTTGTACTTCTTGAGACTTGAAAGAATACTTTTAGAACAAATAAAAAGAAAGAATATTTGATGTAGAAGGTGGTAAACAACAGTACTTTCACCTTCAAAATACATAGATTTGAGAAGCATTTTCACAAATGCTTGAGCTCTGGTGGTTTAAGGAAACTTAGAAGAGTTTCTGGTGTATACCCACCTTTTATGGTCAGTGTCATAAAGGATAGTGTACTGACCTTTGTCATCCCTCTTTACTGTTAAATAAAGCTACTATCTTTGAAGAGTAAAGAGTTATTTTTAGAAATTAAACTTGTGAATTGCTTTGTGTAATAAGTGGTCTCTATTTTTACCTGCATTTCCCATGGTATAAGTCATTCTCAGTTGACAGATTGTCTTGGAAATTAAGTTGTAACACTTATTTTCATGTTAAAACTCTTTAGGTGAATGGGTTTTATTCTTTATCTTGATGGTTTGTTGACTTTCACTTTTTGCAGAAAGATTTTTCTAATGTCATTCAACAAGGATAGCTTAGACTACTATTTTGACTGTGCCTGTCTAGAGCAGATGGGCAGAAGTCTTTTTTTTTTTTTTTTAATGAGACTTTTCTGCTTGTAATTGATTTTTAGTAAGTGTATCATTTCTACTTTTCATGCCTCTTTCAGAAGTGGTTTTCTAAGTAAGCAGTACAATTGATGTTTTTGGACAAAGAATATAAAACTGGTATATTTCTTACGTTGGGCTCTCTTTCTGGGTGATTAAATGAGGATTCTCCAAATGTGGTGCAAGATGAGGCAGGTGTGTAACACTTGCAGCTTTGCTGCCAGGCCTCTGCTGTGAGGATGTTGCCTTTCCTGTCTCGAGTGCATCCTGAAGAGCTCCTCCAGCGCTCCATTGTCTTTTGCCTGATTCCAGGCTGAGGTAGTAGTTTGTACAGTTTGAGGGTCTGTGATACCACCCGGTACAGGAGATAACTGTACAGGCCACTGCCTTGCCAGGAACAGTGCGCCAGCTACCGAGCGGGGCGGAGAGGATGGCGGCGCCCTGCTCACCTCTGGGAAATCAGGTAATGGGGAGGAAGTCTTTTTCTTCTTAGGGCAGGTGGGTAGTTCTAGAAACAGAACAACCAAGAATACTTTGTAGTTGTCGTTTGATAAGTTTGAAGACAATTTGAAGGAAAACCGTATAGAATTCAGGTATGGAACACACACAGAGTGCCCTTTTTCCCCTTCTAGATTAAATGCCCTCTTATCTGAAAACACCCCCGTGAACCACTGAGATGTCTTGGTGCTTTCAGCCTCTCTATTCCTGGATTCTTCTGCCTCAAGAATGTTCTCTCTATGCTTTCCTTTCTGCATTTCGGCATCATTTCCTATTACTTCTTTCTCAACAGTTGTTCCTTATTCCTGGACCTTTTAGGGCCAGAGTACTTTCCTACTTTCCCATTCTGGTCTTTTTGACACTTCGTTCTCCTACCACCATCACCTGTTTTTGTTTGTTTTCTACTCAGAATCATTTGGTTTTTAAGAGTGTCTAATTTGACTAAGCATAAATTTCTGTGATTATTCCTTTGATACTTGATATTGTCAAAATCGCACTGCTGTGACTTGATATATAATTCATGAGTTTGATTTTAAAATGTCTTAAGATCTTTTTAACCTAAATCTCCTCACTTCTTCTTTTGACCACCTTTTTTTTTAAAACCAGATGTATCCTTACCTGATGTACATGGGACTAGTCGTTAGTTGGCTAATTAGAAAAGAAGTAGTAGGATACTACTACTCTTTCCATTTCGTTCAGTTTCCATATAAGTTGTTTATCCAATTAAACATTCAGATGAGGCCAGGGTGGGGTCCATAGGCTGTTGGGGAACCCTGGAGCACAATCTGCTGCCAGTGTGCAGCCTGACCTTCAGTTTAGCATGGCTGCTCACCTTTTTGAGCCTGTTTCCTCAGCAGCCAGATGTTTTCCTTTAAGGTTTGCCATTCTGTGGGCACACTAGGCCAATGCCTAAAACAATTGATTATTTTATTTTTGGTCAGGATATATTTGCAGGGCAAGTTGTATTGTAATTATTCAGAAGCCAAAGATTGGTAGTAGAACAATGATTTTAAACGTAGCTCTATATGCTGTCAACTTAAGATCTGTGTTTTTGAGTTATGTGAAATCTGTACATGCCTACTCTTTTCTCCACCAACAGAGAGGAATTATTGGCCATTATTTATCACACCTTGCTTGGGTTATGAAAAACAATTGGTTCTTTGACCTTGTCTTTTTAAGATGAAATTGGAAAGCAGATTCCTTTTAGAATAGCAGGAGATCATCATGCCTTATTTGTCTTCTTACAGATACTATTCGTTACCTGTCCTTGCATGACAACAAATACATCAGATACTTTCCTGGACATAGCAAAAGGTAAGACCCAGGTGTTGTAGAAGTAGACAGTTCTTCTGTCCTTGAGGCTACCTAGGGAATAGAAGAATGGAGAGATGTTATTAGTGAACTGAAGAGTTCCTCACTACTCTTTGGCATTCTTCTTAGTCGTCTCTTGTTAACCCTCCCTAAACAGTTAATTCTTGATGAACTGAGGTCAGGAGGCTGAGGTAGGAGTTCATAGATAAACCAAAATCTCATTTAACACATAATTAGGAGAAATGTGGAATAAAGATATGCAGTGAAAACCTGTGACGTAAAAATTACATTTGGTATAAAAATTACCTCAAACCTCAGATGTCTCTCAGTGAAAGAATCGTTTGCTTGTATGAGGCCTTCCGGTAAAGGTGACGCCTATTCCGCAGGCCCCTGCCCTGCATAAAAATGTCCCACTTGAAGATCTTAACGAGGATGCAAAAGACAAGAAGCTTGTTTCTCTAGTCTGTATTGTAATGTAGGTTGTTTCTCTTTGTCCCCTACCCTGTTCCCTCAATTTTTTGCTCCAATTTTTTAAGTTTTGGTTGTATGTTGAATACATTTTCCCCTTGGATGCCATTTTAATTACTTGAGGGATTTCCTCCTGCTTTCACTTACAAATATACCCATTACAGCCTGGAGTGAGTGGTATAGAACCTGACAGACGATGATGGCCTGGAGCCCCATGTTATAGGCTGCACTACTGGTTGAGCAAGGCCTTCCTGTGTTGCTGAAGACAGGAGGCCACAGCTGTTGGTTACTGTGTATTTCCAGACAAAGGATGGCTTGATTTTTTGCTGGTTTTGGTTAAAGTGCTCGGCTGCTAAGCAAAAGGTCAGTGATTTTAACCCACCAGCCATTCTGTGGGAAAAAGATGTGGCAGTCTGCTTCCATAAAGATTTACAGCCTTGGAAACCCTATGGGGCATTTCTACTCTGTCCTATAGGGTCACTATGAGTCCGAGTCAGCTCGACGGCAGGGGACAGTCAAGTTAATGTTCATAAATGTATTGTCTGTAATTAAGGGTTGACTACACTTGTTTGAAATTCTTTCCAATCTTTTCAGTTATCTAAGCTCTTGACCTCCTGTTTCTTAGCAGATGACTTTGTCCTTCCTTTTTTGAGAAAATTACGGCCATTTAAAGTGGGTCCCCCCCCCCCAGCTTCCATCCTTTCCCCTAAATTCCTCTCTTGGTACCCTTTCCTTGAGAAAGAAGTAGCCTATCTTCCTTGACAAAATCCACCTCCCTCTTTCTGTTTGCTCCCATCTCCTTAACTGGCTTTTTCCCTGCTGCCTACAAATGTACCTGGTCTTCCTTATCTTAAATCTATTTCTTGACCCTATCACCCACTCCTCTTCACTGTCACACTTGAAAGAATAATCTGCACACCACCATCTCTACCTCCTCATACTCAAGTCACTGTTTAAATCACTTACAATCTAATTTCAGAATTAGCTTTTTTTTCCCCCCAAGTCCTTTCCCTTCCCTCTCCCTGCCTCTAGTTAAAATCCACTGTTCTGGGCTTTTTTCGAGGCTTGACCTCTCAGTAAAACTTATTTTCCTTTGCAGCTGACTTTTGCCATCTTAGTTCTGTTCTTGCTGTTTTTGACCCCTCGTTATAAACAAAGGGTCTGTCCTGGTTTTTTCCCCTTTCTCAGCATTTTCTCAAGTATCTCCATCCTGATTTCATTCACCAACTCAGACGGCTTCCCAAGTCAGTATTTTTAGCCCATGTCTGTCCTGAGTTCCAGGTTCGCCTTCCACCCACAAGTGTTACACATATCTATTCATTGTACATATCTACCCAGATGTCCCTTCCATGCCCGCACCTAACAAGTCCAGCAGTCCAGTCCTCTCCTCATTGTTATATTCCTTGGCCCAGCTTCTCTGTCTGCCTCATGTTTCTTCATCTCCTTGCCTTCTAATTTCCCCGACTCCAAAGCCTCTGTTGTCTGTTCACTCCCTTTCGCCCTGCCTCCACATCCATTAAGTTGCCAAACCCTGTGGATTCTACCTAGGTTTAGCCTCATTTGTCACTTTCCTCCTGACTCTTCTCTGCTTCTGCCCTAGCTCAGGCCCTGTCAGGTGGATTTTTGTCAAATCCTAATTGATCTCTCCTCCCCCACCATCCTGCTTCAGCACCCTATAGTAAGCTCTGACCGTGTTACAGCCTCGCTCAGGAAGCCGCAGTGGTTCTCCACATCTGTCTGTTTCTTTCCCTTGGAGTCTGGTTATGCTCCCTCTGGCTCTCTCATTTCCCAGCATTATCTCCTACCACTCCAGTTGAGGTAAACTCAGGGCTGCATCCTGAACATGGGCATAAGGCAGGCCTTCTTGTCTGTTACCTTCCAGAAAGGTGTCTGCCATTGAAACCCTGTCCACGTCAAATGCTGCTTCTTCCAGAAGGCCTCTCCTGACCCTCTCTTGGAGTGGTCTGGACTAAACAGTAAAACTTCCTTAGGGTTGGGATCTTGCTCCTCCTTGTGTTACCTGCACTTCTAAGCGTAGGGCCTTGTACCAAATACTTTCTCTGAGCCTTTGCGCTGAATATGCCATAGCATGAAATCACACGTCCATATGCATTCTGCTGACATTGTTTTATTACTACCTAAGCATTAGCAGGGAATTTTAACTTTTAATTGTATCTTTTAAAATTTTAAGTTGAGAAGCTAGTGCAAATGTTAGTTGAGTTATATTGTGTAAAAATGGCGTGGGGGCCAGTGTTTGACCGCCTCTAATTTCACGAGGGGATAGAAGAATCAAGATCAACATGCTAAGGCTGATTCCTGTGAGGCAGAGGTCAGACATGCCTCCTTGCTGTACCGTCTTTACCAATTCTGACACCAGCCGTCCCTCCCATGGCACTCTCTACTTCTCTGCTGGGTTCAATAATTCATTGCAGTGGTCACAGAACTCACAGACAGTACTCACGATTATGGGGTTTATTGCGGAAGTAACAGGTTACAGTTCATGTTCAGGAATGCTCAGGATACAGTTCTTCTATCAGGACAGTCTCTTCTCAGCTGTGCCTGCAGGCATCCCTCTCTGACCCTCCCCCTCTGCCCTGCCTGGGGCAGGAGTTACAAAGCTCTTTTAGCTTTGTCAAAAGTACCCAAAGGCACCCTACTCTGCCAGTAAGCCTCCGCCTGAAGGCAGCAAACCTAGCTCCACCAGGTGCCCAGAGGCACCCTACTCCACCAGCAAGTCTCCTGCCCAAAGGCACTCAGCTTTCTCGCTCTGTGGGTGGGAAAGCCCACTGCACTGTCTCCTGCCAGTCTCCCCTGCTGCGTTTTTCTACCACCGCTTCTCACCGTCTTCAGTGTTACAGCTCTCTCTCTCTCTTTCTGTCTCCTGGTTCCAGGAGCTTCTCAGCACAGGGGTCCCAGGTCCAAAGGACTCACTCCACTCTTGGTTCTTCTTCCTTAGTGATGGTGAGATCCTCTGCTTCCCACCTCTGGCATGGCTCATTTTAAGCCTAGCAGGATGGCAAAACTGACCAATCCCTTTGGTGGGCCACAATTACCTTATTTGCACAGATCCACTCAATAACTTGGGTGGGAGTTACAAGACCATGGCGAGAAAGGCCACACAAAAGCAATCCATCAACTGCATATTGGAAGAAATGTTTTTAAGTGAGTGACTCTTGATGGTATAACCACTAAAGGTGGCCCATATCAGAAATATAGTTGCTATTAGCACAGGCCTGTGGTTCCTTGGGGGCCCTGGTGGCACAGGGGTTAAGAGCTTGGCTGCTAACCAAAAGGTTGGCCGTTTGAATCCACTCCTTGGAAACCCTATGGGGCAGTTCTGCTCTGTCGTGTAGGGTCGCTGTGAAACGGAATTGACTTGACGGCAGCGGGTTTGGTTTTGGTATTGGTTGATGGTTCTCTGACTGTGGTGTCTGGACCAGCCGTATCACCATCACCTGGAAGCTTGTTAGAAATGCAGATTCTCAGATCCCACCCTGGACCTACCAGATTAGAAGCTCTGGGAATCGATTCCAGCAATATGTTTTGTTTTTAATTTATTTTGGTGAAAGTATACACAGCCGAAGATACACCATTTCAACAATTTCTATGTGTACAATTCAGTGACACTGATTACGTTATTCATTTTGTTCTACCATTATAGCTATCCTTTTTCCCATTATCCCACCACTGTTAAACTCACTGCTCCCTAAGCTTCTCATCCAACCTTTCTAGTTGCTGTTGTCAGATTCATCTCACATAGATAATTCTTTAAAAGAACATAGTGGCTGAGGCTGCTTATGTACAACCAAACACCTCATGGGACCCAGTTCTTTGGTTTGGAGGCCTGGCCGTCTGTTCTAACCCACCCTCGAGGTGACTGAGATGTAATTCACATACGATAAATTTGCTCTTTTAAAGTGTACAATTCAGTGATTTTTTGGTATATTCAGGGTTGAGCAAACATCATCACTGTCTAATTCCAGAACACTTTCATCACCCAAAAAGAAACCCTATAGATCTAATCTAAAATCTCTAGAAAACTGCAACAACTCAACAACAAAAAGACAACCCAATCACAAAATGGGCAAAGGACATGAACGGAACCTTCGCCAAAGAGACATCCAAGCAGCCAACAAACAAATGAAAAGGTGTTCACTATCATTAGCCATTAGAGAGATGCAAATCAAAACTATAATGAGATACCATCTCACCCCTGCTAAAATGGCACTGATTAAAAAAAAGGTAACAACAAATGTTGGCAAGGATGTGGGGAAATTGAAACCCTTATCCATTGCTGGTGGGACTGTAAAATGGTACAACCATTATGGAAAATGGTATGGCACTTCCTTAAAAAACTAGAAATAGAACTATCCTATGATCCAGCAGTCCCACCCCTAGGTGTATACCCTACAGACCTAAAAATAATGACATGAACAGACATACGCATACCTGTGTTCATTGCTGCTTTATTCACAAGAGCAGATAAATGGAAACAACTGAAAGGCTCATCAGTGGATGAATGGGTAAGCAAATTATGGTACATACATACAGTGGAATACTGTGCAACCATAAAGAACAATGATGAGTCCACGAAATGTAACATGGATGGACTTGGAGGGCATAATGCTAAGTGAAATAAGTCAAGCATATAAGGACAAATATTGTATGATCCATCTTTTGTAAGAAGATAAGAATGGATAAATATAGAGACCACAATGTTCATTGGTGGTTACGAGGGTGGAGGGTGGGGAAATTATGCTTTATACAATACAGACTAGTTGTTTTTGGTGATGGGAAAAGTGGCACTGAATGTGGATGTAGTCAGCCCAGCACAACCAAAGTGAGCATATACAGCTGGGTATGGGCAAATTGGTATATGGGTAGGTACAGGTGTATACATAGGTGAGAACAGATAGAAGTATCTATACAAAAAAAAAAAAAAAACATGTTGCCTTTGAGTCGATTCCAACTCATAGCGACCCTATAGGACAGAGTAGAACTGCCCCATTGGGTTTCTTTTGGTTAGCAGCCAAGCTCTTAACCATTGTGCCACCAGGGCTCCAGAAGTATCTATAGGTATGTGTAAATACAAATACGTGAGTGTAGGCACATATATTCATTGAAGACACAAATACAGATAATTCCTCAGACATAACGAAACACCTTCCAAGATTGGTTTTCTCGTGTGAAGGCTTAGGACCATAGTCTCAAGGGACAGTTTGGTCAATTGGTATAACATAGTTCACAAAAATCATGATCTGCATCCAGTGAAGTGAGTAGCATCTGGGGTCTTAACAGGTCTCTCCTCGTCAGGAGCAAAACAGTAACATAACCAAAAGCACAGAGAAGAAACAAGTCATACACAGACCACAACCTCATCTACCCTGAAACCAGAAGAACTAGATAGTACCCGGCTACCACCACTGACCGTTCTGACCAGGGTCACGATAGTTGGTCCTGAATAAAATGAGAGAAAAATATGTAGCAGAACTCAAGTTCTTATTTTAAAAAAGCCAGACACTGGAACAGTAGAGAACAGAGGACTCCCTGAGAGTATCGCCCTTCCTCAAAAAACACTCTTTAAACCTAGACCCGAGCCTGTCCCATAAGATCACCTTTTAGTGAAATAGAGTGGCACACAAAATAAAGAATATTAACCCATAAGAACAGTGCTCTACTTAAAAACCATTAGTATGAGACCAAAAGGTCAACAATTTCTCAAAAGCAAAGATGAGACGATAAGGGGGCAGGGAAACTAGAGTACTGGAAAGGGAAAAAACAGAACACAATTAAAGAGAATGTCGACACATTGTGATAAATGTAACTAATGTCACTCATCAGTTTGTGTGGAAATTGTCAAATGGGAACCTAACTTGCTGTGTGAACTTAAAAAGAAACCCTGTACCCTTTACCAGTCACTCCCCATCTCCTGTCTCCCAGCCCCTGGGCAACCACAAATCTATTTTTTATCTCTAGATTTGCCCATTCTGGGCATTTCATATAAATAAAGTCAGGCAGTATGTCACCTTTTGTGTCTGGCTTTTTTCACTTAGCACAGTGTTTTATAAGGTTCATCCACGTTGTGGCGTGAATCAGTATTTCATTCCTTTGTATTTCCAATTAATAGTCCATTGTTTTAATATACTACATTTTGTTTATCCATTGATCAGTTGAGGGACATATGGGTTGTTTCCACTTTTTGGCTATTAAGAGTAATGCTACTGTGAACATTTGTGTACAAGCTTTTGTGTGAGGAGTACAGCCAGAATGCTCCTTAGAAGCAAAGATGGCGAGACGTCGTCTCACATACTTTGGACATGTTAGCAGGAGGGACCGGTCCCTGGAGAAGGACATCATGCTTGGTAAAGTAGAGGGTCAGTGAAAAAGGAAGACCCTCAACAAGATGGATTGACACAGTGGCTGCAACAATGGGCTCAAGCATAACAACGATTGTGATGATGGCACAGGACTGGGCAGTGTTTCGTTCTGTGGTACATAGGGTCACTATGAGTCAGAACCGATTCAGTGGCACCTAAGAAAAATGTATGTTTTTAGTTCTCTTGGATATATACCTAGGAGTGAAATCGCTGGGTCATGTGGTAACTATATTCTTGAGGGACTTCAAAACCATTTTCCAAAGTGGCTGCACAGTTTTGCTTTCCCACCAGCAACGTATGAGGGTTCCAATCTCCTCACATGCTCACGAACACTTGGTACTGTCTCATCGATTATAGTTACTCTCGCGGGTCTGAAGTGGTTTGTCATCGTGGTTTTGGTTTGTGTTGGAATCATATGTTTTTATACTGTGGCTTTAAGGCGCTGTTTTTATTATAGTAGCTGTCTTTATTATGCATACATATTGTGTGTTTTAGTTTGTTTCTTAAAATGGCAGTTTTGGGAAATAGGGTATATACAGGTAGGCAGAGTGGTTTGGAGTTCACATTAATTTTTTGCTAACATTTTGCTTCAATTCCTGTCTATCTTGATGCATTGCAGGGTGGTGGCCTTGTCCATGTCACCTGTGGATGACACTTTCATTTCTGGGTCTCTTGATAAGACCATTCGACTCTGGGACCTTCGGTCTCCTAACTGCCAGGTAATGCTACTTACAGTTACACTTTCTGAGCATTTTCTGTGGCAGGCACTGCCATCAGCTCTTCCTCTTGGGAGGGGGAAAGCAGTGGTTCCGTTCTGGGATCCCAGAGTCTTTTTAAACTTTGGAGAAAACGGTTTTCCTGGTAGGAGCTGGTAAGCCGATAGCTCAGTCCATTGCAGATTGCATTATGCTCTGTGGCTTACTGCCTTAAAATGGTTTTCCTAGATCCTTTTGAGTTATAGCTCTTAGCCTCTACGGGTTTATTTCTGTTTGAACTCACTGTAATATTGTGCACTTAGGGTTGGTCTGAAATCAGCTGTACAGAATGTGGACCCTGTTTTTTTGAGGGGCAGACCCTATTTTTAAAAAGCCTTATTTTGGTTAGTCTTATGTTTGAGTTTTCCCTTCTGTAGGTAGGTTGGTCGCTGTTCCTCTCCCTGTTCTAGATTTCATTAGCAAAAGGAAATTACATGGTATTAGGGTCCTGGATTCATGAACTTTTTGTCTTTTTTTTTTTTTTTTTTTTTTTCCCTAGGGCCTAATGCATTTACAGGGCAAGCCAGTTTGTTCTTTTGATCCAGAAGGGTTAATTTTTGCTGCAGGTGTCAATTCCGAAATGGTCAAACTTTATGATCTTCGTTCTTTTGATAAGGTAAATCTCTGAATCTTTGAACAGTCTTGCTGTGGAAGTGTTTAAGGGTGAGATGGATATTTAAGAGCCTTCCTCTCAGTAAAGGAGGTGTGTTGTGGTATTAGATAGGGGCAGAGCTGTTCGTCATTCTCTGCTTTCCCTAGTCAGAAAGGAGTCTAGCGGGATAGAATGGGAGTTGGCTCTTGCAGAAGGAATTACTAATGTGCCTTGGGCCTGGGGCTGCTATTTTTATTTCTTGCAGGGACCGTTTGCCACCTTTAAGATGCAGTATGATAGAACTTGTGAGTGGACAGGACTGAAGTTCAGCAATGATGGCAAACTCATCCTCATCTCCACCAATGGCAGCTTCATCCGTCTCATTGATGCGTTCAAGGGAGTGGTGATGCACACATTTGGGGTGAGCTGGCAGCCTTTGAGTATGGCCATTTCCATGCTCATACCTCCTGGGCTGAGAGTTGTCTTAGCTGGTTGGTGGAGACCAGCACTTGCCCGGGACTCACTGGTCAGGGTATGGGCCTGCGTTCTTTTCCTCCGCATGAACTCATTTCCCTTGGATTCTGAGGCGGTGGAACACATCATTTTTCACCCAGTGACCCAGGTTTGGACTTCCTGACTGTAAACCATTCTCTTGCCCCCTCCCAGGGGGCTGGGAGGAGGGGGTGATTTTAAAGGGCAGTGGCCCACACTTGGAGCCTTGGTGGTGCTGTGCATGAGCAGGGGAGGGTTTCGTGGAAAGGAAGACAATGCGTGTGCTGGGTCGGTGTTTGTAGGCAGTTGTTGCTGTTAATGGCCCTGTAACTGTTCTGCTTTGCTTTAGGGTTATGCCAACAGCAAGGCTGTCACACTGGAGGCCTCGTTTACCCCAGACTCCCAGTTTATTATGATCGGTGAGGTCCCTTTATCCTCCTTGGCCTTGGTATTTCTCTAGTACTGTGCCTTTGTTTACTTAAATTATTTTTGTTAGTATTAACTATTATTTGCTAAATTATCTGCTTGGTATATGTTCTCAGACTTCTATGTTTCTGTTTCACATTATATCAAAAGTATAGTGTATAAACTGTACTGATTTTGGTATTCTCTACTGGGAACTGGCATCAATGTTGTTCTTCTCAGGACCAGCGTTAGGGTTCAACTCTACAAGCGCTCCCTTCTTGGTAATGCTAACTTCCTGGGATAACCCTGCATTCAGATTGTTTTAGTGACTACATATTGGTAGAGCAAATGGTATTCAGCCCCTTTTTTAGATGAGAAAACTAAGAGAAGTGACTTGCCCAAGAACAAATAGCTAGGGCCAAAACGAATTCCTGAAATACCTTCCTTCATTGCCTCTTCCCCCTCTCAGTTTCTGCTAAGGGCTGCATCTTGAAGCTTATCCTCTCTCTAGACTTCAATCCGTGTCTCATTCCCAGTCGTCTGTGTGCTGTCTTGAGCTGTCACACTTTCCTTGATCATTCTCTTCAGGTTCAGAGGATGGCAAGATCCACGTCTGGAATGGAGAAAGTGGTATCAAAGTAGCTGTGCTGGATGGAAAACACACAGGCCCCATCACCTGTTTGCAGTTCAACCCCAAGTTCATGACCTTTGCCAGTGCATGTTCCAACATGGTATGTGAATAACGGGAAGTGTCTACCTAGGGGTACTTTCCAGTTGGTTGTTGGATGCCCTAATGGCCCAGCAAGCTGTATTCTAAATATTAGATACATTGCAAGCACCCAGGTCCATGTTTCTCAACTGCTGACTTCCCTCTTTCGCCTCTTGTTGTTTGATCTCTGGTTGGGCTGGTCTTTAACATTTACTCTTCTTCCCGTGATCTGGGATCACCTCTGAGCCCCTAGGAGATAGGCCAGTTTTCGCTGTGGCCCCTGGCTTTAGGCCCAAACTACTTAGGACCATACTTGACATTTTTTTTTTTTTGCTCCTTGAAATACTCTGAACTAGCCATTTGTGGCTGCAGCCTTTCAGTTTTCCATTTCTTTCAGTTTATGCTGAATTCCTCAGAAACTCTTAACAGTTAATTGTAACTCACCACTCAGAATTTCCTCCAGGCCCCTGTCTCTTCCTAGACAACACTAGCAGAACAAAGGATCAGTGAGTGTCAGCCTCCAGTTTCCTCTTAGGATCTGGGAATTTGGGGATGGGCATTTTACTACCATTGTACCCAGAGTACATTGTCCTACCCTTCTTTTTTAGCTAGTGTCAGAAGAAACAGCAAAACTTGTCCAATCTCTGGAAACTGCTGCAGCTCAGGAAGGCCACCTGGTGGATTAGCAGTGAGGCCAGGTTACCCAGGCCCCTACCTCCTCGCAGCATTCCTGTTTTTCCTCACCACTGGGACCGCTGTGGTGGAAGGTGGATAGTGTGTTGGAGGGATCAGAACCAGCTTGCCTTCATGTAGAGAGAGGAGCATTTCTGTCTTCCATAGATTGCCAGAGTTGGTTGATCAGAAGGGAGGGCCGCAGCCATAACTCCTCCACCATTGATGCTCTGGGCAGAGTATGAAAAACCCTGCATGGTGAGGAGAGAGCCGCAGCTTTTCTAAGTTGACCTGTGTTCTCCTTCCAGGCCTTCTGGTTGCCTACCATTGATGACTGACCCTGATGTTGCTCAGCTGTCTTGTGAGGGGCCAGCAGGAAAAACTCAGAGGGGACTGAGATCATACCGGGATTGGATCATTGGACTGGGCTGGAGAGCATCCTTCACATGGCCTTCCTACGGATGTACTGTTGTATGTCTGCTCAAGCAAAAAAAAAAAAAAACAAACCCATGCCGTGCTTCTTCAGAAGGACCCTTGGTACGGCAGGCTCCATTGGGACTCGGGTTTTCCACCTGTCACTGCATCAATTCGTCCAGTGGAGTGACCAGACTCACGATTAGGGTTTAGTGGGGCCCTCAAGACGCCTTCAGTTCTGAATGTATTTGCTGCTGAGGAGCCAGTGAAGTTAATTCTGCACAGCCCTTCTCCACCCCCATAATGCATGGGAAGCTGCAGTTCTGGTTTTGAGATGCTAGGGCAGCTCAGCCCCTTGCCCTTGCTTGCCCTGCATGTCGTTACTGGGTCTCGCTGTGTTGTTGTGGCCCTTATTCCACAGCCATCATGTTTCTTAGGTGCCAGACATTTACCGAAATAAGTCTTTGTGTATCTTCAGTCAGAGAAAGGGACAGATACAGAAAGACCTCGCTTGCTAGGAGCTGTGCAGTTACTCGTGTGAGGGTGGGTGTCTGGGCGTGCCTCATGGCCCTGGGTGTTGAGTGGTAAAAGGCCCAAGAGCCTGAAAGGGGTGACAGGTGAGTTCCCAGGGCTGAAAGGTTTAGCAGCAGCTTGGCACAGTCCCCCGTCACCCAGACCGACCCGCAGTCCTCCTAGGTTCCTACGGAACCTGGTTGCGTACAAAAGCAAGGTGGGAGCCTCTTTTTGTGCATTAGCTGTATCATGCGTTCCCGTGGGCCAGTATTGTGGAGTGAGTCTGAGCTGTTTACACTGACGTGTCCCCACCCACCACAGATTGTGTACATAGTCTCCAAGTGGTACCACCCCTTTTCCCCAGCTCCCCAGCCAAGAGCTGGTTCTAGGCCTGTGTTACATGTTCTGTTTAGCCTTTTTATATATGACCTTTGATTTCTCGTTGTATTTTAGCACAGTGTGTGCACCTTCATTTAAATATATCTGTGGGTGCGTACACGTGCATATATATAAACTATATATATATCTATATATAGTTTAAGGATGTTATGAAACTTGGTTTCCTTATAATCATCTGCAGTTTCTCAGAGTTCAGCCCGGGAGAAAGACTGCATCCTTGCGAATAGTGTTTGCCACAAGTATTAGTGAGTCTTCCCTATTACCTTTCTTCCTTCGGGAGGCTAAACGAAGCAAAGCTTCAAGTGTTTGCCGTTTCCATGGCAGCTAAGTGTGAGGGTCTTGGGTTGACTCCCTTGTGTTCCTCAAACGGCACTTTGGGGCCCTCTCTGAAGTATTAGCCCCCTTTTGCCCAGTGATGCTCTGTCTGCACCTGTATATATGTGACAGTCACTTTTGCATGCCTTTTGTGTCTGGCTTGCAGCGTTTGGGGACAGGATGCTGGAACCAGAGCATTTTCAGTTTGTCTGAGGCTCCTTTACCAATTACAGGTCACTCTGTCTTTCCTGATATGTCTGCTTTCTTCTTTTCCTTGCCTTCTCTTTGGAGAGGGGAGGGGCGCTGGCCAGGCACGGGTTGAGATGAGCCGAGGTGGACTCATGGCCTTTCCTTCCCCTGCATGGCCGTCTTGGGGTGGGTGGCTCACAGCCTTTCCTTCCCCTGCGTGGCCGTCTTGGAGCAGGTGGCTCATGGCCTTTCCCTCCTCTGCATGGCTGTCTTGGAGGTGATTGGCATGTTATTTTGTGTAGTTCCCAAACAAATATTTAAGCAGGCCACACACCCAGTCCCTGTAGTTCTAAAAACTGAGGCTCAAGGTTCTGATTTGCCCAAGCATACATAGCTGCTAGGCTGTAAAACAAGCCATCCCTGCTACTGTTCAGCTGCAGGAATAGGCTGTGAATTGCTAACAGTTACTTTATAATTTGTTCCTCAAGTCAGAGAGCTTATGCCTTCCCCAAACTCGGCCTGAAGCTTGCAGCTGTCGACTGCCACCCACTGCTTAGGGGAGGGACTTCGAAAAACCACAGGATCTGAGCTGTTTCTGCCTACTCACAGCCTTGCAGGGTAGAAAATTCATGGTAGGAGTAACTGTTCAAGAGAGTGCTTAGAACCACGGGTGAAGAAGAGAGACTGCATAATTAACATATCTGCAACCTGAGCAGCCACCGAGCCTGACTCTCAGCTACAGGAAAACGTTGTGTATTTGAGTTCCTGTGTGCCCAAAACCGAGGCACCATCTTTTGAAAACATGCCACTGCAGGACCTCTATTTGTGGGCCGGGCCCTGTGGCTTCAGAGCTGGCTCCTGAGTTGGGAAGGGAGGGGGAATGATGGGCTGGTAGCCACTGGAGATGTGGGGATGGGGCAGGGTGAAGGAGGCTGTGGCCAGGACTGCAGAGGGCGAGGCCTGCCTGGGTGCTGTCTGCGGGGGCTGGAGGGGTTGAGCGCTCCTCGGTTAGGGGCCTGGCTCACAGCCCTCTCAAGGGTCCGGCCAAAGCCACCTGTTGGTATGTGACAGCAACTCCGCACTGCTCAACCACCAGCCAGAGGGGTATTTTAAAAAAATTATTCCCTGTTGTAATCATAATTAATGCTTATTAAGAAGAATTTGGGAATTTTTAAAAGAATCAGTTTGCCACCCAAACGCTACCACTATTACTCTTTCGGTGTTAAATGTTATAGACATTTCTGTGCATCGTTTTTTGGTGTGTTTCCATAGTGGTTATTCTACTGTATATACTATTTTATGTCCCTTTTGTACTTAACAGATAAACATTTTTTTCCATGTTATCAGTCTTGAACAGAATTCTATGGCTGCAGACTTTTCCACTGAGTTTCTGTAGCATTGTTTACCTGCTTCCCGGAGTTGGAGGGAGGGATGGGTGGTCTTCTGTTAGTCATCCTGGCTCACATTGGGACTCGCTATAATGCCGAGTGATGGATTGTTGCGCTTCCTCCGCCTGTCCCCGCCTGCCCCTTAGTGACTGAGGTCTGTGCACTGCTGGAAGGAGCCCCTAGACCCAGCCCTCAGAACACAGCCTGGGTCTCCCCAACCTCAGGCTGTAAATGCAGCCACAGGGTCAGAAGTGAGTGACTAGGAAAGGCCTGCCTAAGCCAACCTTCACCTTTAAATACTGCATTTGGCACACTCCCTCAGGCTGCTTGTACCCCCACTGTTTTCTATACCTCAACTCTTGTTCAGATTGGCAACCTCAGCCGGAAGAAGGTTCACACAGCTAGGCAGAAGGAGGGCAAGCAGAGTGGGGCATCTCCTTTGAGGCTCACGCACCAGGTCTGGTGCGTGGCCTGGCCCACTACTTGGAGCCATCCCCTGGCTGGTGAGTTGGGAACCCCTGCAGGCTCCACTCTAGGCCAGCATCTGCAGAGCCTCAGGACCTGCCTCCTGCCCCTTGCCTTACTCTCTCTGAACCAGTTAGAGAAGAAAACCATGGGCCTGCTACTTTCCCATGGTCATTGGCTAGGCCAGTGGAGGGAACATCCTGGCTCGTGTGTGGTCGGCCATGCGAGGCTCCCTGGCAGCAGGGTCTGCTCAAGAAGGAAGAGAGCCCTGCATGTCCTGGTGGGAGGGCTGCTGCAAGCTTGGCTCTGAACAAGGTCAGTGTGGCTCCTTTTGCAGCAGCCAATTCTGTCACTTTGTTGGGCCTGCTTGCAGTTGGGAGACCCACTGCACCTGCTCCCTGTGCCTTGGGCTCATGGTGTGAAGAGCAAGAGCAGGCCGTGGGCTGGGTCGGAAGCAAGCTAAGTGGGCTGTGGGGGTGAGCTGGCTCAGCAGCTGATGTGGGTGAGAGGCAGGCTCGGGACTGCCCACGCTTCCCTGGGGGAGGAGGTGGGGGGAAAGCTGTGCTGAGGAAAAGGAAGTAAAACCCCGGCATCTGCCAGCTGCCTGACTGGTGGAGCCCTAGAAAGGCAGCCTGGAGCTTCCAGGGCCAACGCCAGCTCGTCAGGACCCAGCTGTGGACAGGTGCAGGCCCAAAGTCTTGGGCTGGGGAATATGGCTATGTGAAAATGGGAAATGTCTGGTTCTGTAGTTTGTCCTCTCTCTTCGCTGGAGAATGCGTAGACATGAAGTCTAAAAGGAGGTAATGGGCAGCAAAAGGTTCTGAGAGCCTCTCAGATGGGTTAAGTAAGTGAGTTTTGCTGTCAGCTTGGGGGCCTGTTGGGCATCCTTCCTGGCTGCAGTCTAGGGGTGTGAGTGCCTGCCGAGATCTCAGTTTGGTTGTAAACTGAGGTAGGAATGAGTCAGTAGGGCAGAGGTCAGGGAAGTGGTTGCCTTATCATTCAGTAATTCCCCAGCAGCTGAGCCATCGCACGTCCAAAATGACAACACAAAATGACAACACGGTCTGTGGAGAAAGTGAGGGACCAAGGTGCTCAACAAACAGCAAGCCCCAGGGCCCCAGCTGACTTGTCTCCAGCTAAGGCTAGTTTTATGGAAATGTGCGCTGCGAAACAAACTAAAGGTAGCCCTTCGGCTGCCTCAAGCCCAGGGGCTCACAGCTCATGGTGAAGGCCTCCTTTCCATTCCCTGGACAACCATTCCCTCACAGGTCACATGGGAGGGGGGCACTCACCCTGAGCTGAGCTGAGAACTAGGGGAACGCAGAGAAAATGTGGTCCTGACTCCAAGGAGCTCACAAGGTGGAGGGAAGGCTAATCCACTAGAAAGTACCAAGACAGCAAAAGCTGTTCAGCAATTCACGATTCACAAGGGCCTTTCTGCAGAAAACCATTTAATAGTAGGGCGGGGCTGGGGGGGGGGGCGCGACAAAGCAAAGGCACCGTTGGGACACCAGGGTGGGGCTGAGGCCAAGCCAGAGGTAGGAGCCTGAGATCAGAGCACACCTCCACTCCCCCTGTGCCCCCCAGCCAGGGCTCCTCCTCTGGCCTCCTTTGCTCTCCCCTGACTGAGCCCCAGGGCCTGTGCCTTGGCCTCCAGTGGAGGAGGGGCTGTCTTCAAGAAGGCTGTTCAGCAGATGCGAGGCTGCCCGAAGGTTTCTACCCTGCATGGACTTTGGGGGTTGTTGAATGAACACCCTGACATTCAGGGATTGGAGACCTGGATCCAAACACTGTGACTATCTGTCCCTTCTGGCATCCTTGTCCAACACCCTTAGCCCAGAGTCCTTGGGGTGCTGAGGATCCCGTCTGAGCCTAGGGTGGGCGTCATAAATTGTAAGGTACCGTTACTTACATAGTGCTGTTTGCCTGCCTATTAAAGGGGGTGCCTGGTGAGCTGGGCCTGCACTCTTCCAGCTCTGACTGCCTGGTATAAATGCTCCCCTTTAATGGGTGTGAGTTGGGGTGAGGGGCAACAGTACTGGGCCACATCTGGGGACAAGGCAGGAAGGGCCTGCTCTCGGCCGCAGTGGAGCGGTGCCCGGAGTGCACTGGCCCAAGAGGTCCTGGGATGCAGTGTCCAGCCTGAATTCTCAGTGGCCACTGCTTCCTTGGTCCCGGCTGTGCAAGGGAATCACGAACACAGAGACGTCATCGTAGGACACCTGCCCTTCTCCCGTGGGGCCGTCCTCGGTGCCCTGTGTACTGCGGATCAGCATTTGGGCCAGCTCCGAGAACCTGTGGGGACCATCCTGCAGATGCGCTTCGGGGGCAGAGCAGAGGGGCAGGGCCAGCTCTCAGGAAGAACCCACTGCACAGGGCTGGACACTTGGGACCAGGCAAGCCACAAGCCTGAGAAGGCCTTAGGCTGGACCAGAGTCAACCCAGAGATTCTGGGGAAGGAAGGAGCAGTGACAATCATCCCCAGCCCTGATGCTCGCCACCCGCCCGGAGCCAGGCTCACTGCTGGTGCCATCTTCTCAGCCATAACTACTTGGCTGCTGGCACCAGCCTAGGCCCAGGCAGGTCCCCAGCAGCTACAGTACCTGTGTGAGTCCTCTCGGTTCCCAGGTAGGAAGCTCCGCACCAGCCGTGCCACCTGCTCATTGGACAGGACGTCCCAGAGCCCGTCAGTCGCCATGACAACCACATCCTCCTCCTGCGGCTCCAGCTGGTCCAAATCCAGCACGGTCACCTGCAAGCGAAGCCCGAGGAGCCCTCAGCACCCCCCTTCCAGCTCCCACTAGCATCATCGTCCACCTTTCTGGGCAGATGGAAGTCGGAGTGGGCCATATGACCCCCTCACCTGTGGGACAGAGAGCAAGAAGGGCTTGAGCTGGATGTTCGTGTCCAGGACTTTGAGCTGATGGTCTCCCAGGCCCCGGGAGACGGCCAGTGTTCCCAGTAACCGAGCCTGGGGGCAAAGGGGTGTGAGGAGATGGCAAGAAGCGCCAGCGCGCGTGTGAGTGCCGGGCTCTAGCACTGCAGCACACGGGGAGAGGGCGACGCCCCCCTGGGGAGCCCAGGGCTGAGGGAGAAACCCACTGGCCTGGGAGCAGACCCCAGGACACCAGCCACAGCCACCAGCAAGGGACAAAGGAGCTCCCACCATTGCAGGGGGCACTTTAAGAGGGCTTCTTGGAGGGTAGCCAGGCACTGACCTGCCTACCCTGTCCGTGGATCAGTGGATACTTGAGATCTGACTTCTCCACATGCTTGTAACTCCTACCAGAGCAGACCCATCATCAACCCAGTCCCTCCTCCCCATCTCATCTGTCCCCAGCCCAGGGCCCAGCTACCACACCCTCACAGCACCCCCACTGCCGGGGCCCCAGGGCTCTCCCTTCCCACTGTGTCCCCCACCCCGCCTGGCTCACCAGCCGCTCATGTGGAAATCCCTGAACAAAACCTTCTGGCCTAAGTCATCCCCTTTCAGCCGCCGAGGGAACTCTAGTCGGGTGAACTCACCAGCCAGGAGCTTGGGGTAAACAAAGGCCTAGGGTGGGGAGGCCATGCTCCGGTCAGGTTCCCTCCTGTGGCGTCTGGTGGCCCTGGACCCAGGAGTTGGGGCTCCATGGCCTCCCTCTGCCAAGGGCACCTACCAGCTGCTGGATCCGCTGCCGCTCAGTCTCCGGGGTGAACTCAGAGCTCAGTGGCCGTACTTCATCTCTCCGTACCAAGATGGCCCTGGTGGGGGGCAGGGAGGGAGAGGTCTGTGGGGCAGTCTCCACCCCACACCCATGGCCTCCTGCTGGCCCCTACTCCAACCACCAGGAGCCAGCTCTGCCCATGCCAATCTCTTGCTCAAACCCCTCCATGATTGCCTATGGCCTGCAGGTAAAGGCTCAGCCCTTCTGACTGGCACTTGAGGCCCCTGCCTGCCGTGGGCAGCCTGGAATTCCACTGCCCCCCTCCACTCAACACACACCAGGTACACGCACAAAAACCCACCCAGTCACCCTCCCCATACACACCCTCCCCATGTACAACTTTCAGCTCCCTTTCACTGTCTCCGCTGCCGCTGGTGCCCACCTGCCCACCCTCCAGGGCTCACTCACCTGCTATCTCCGGCATTGGCCACGTATAGCTTTCCCTGCAGGGATACGGCCACCAGGGCTGTGCAGCCGCCCACCTGGCCCGAGGCCTCCAGCTCCCGCCCGATCACCTCATCCTGGGGCAAACCAAGGCCACCTCAGTGGCTACCTTTACTGCCACCATACCACCCTGCCCTGGCTCCCACCCTACAATTCACTTCCCTGCTGGCAGGCCTGGCTGGCCCAGCCCAGGCATCCCTGTGGTAGGAGATCTAGACATATCCCCTGGGAGGAGGGAAACCAGCCCCAGGCCAACAGTGTGTGCAACAAGGTACAGAAGCACCCAGCACATAGTAGGTACTGGTAAATGGGAGGGATTATGACAATGGAGCCCTGGTAGCACAGTGGTTAAGAGCTCAGGCTGCTAATCAAACGGTCGGCAGTTCAAATCTAAAAGCCACTCCTTGGAAACCCTATGGGGCAGTTCCACTCTGTCCTATAGAGTTGCTATGAGTCGGAATCGACTTGACGGCAATGCATAATGGTAAGGGTAGATGGCCATGACAGCATTAGTAACGAACAAATAAATCCAACCTCGTTCTCCCAGTCTGAAGATGCAGGGTGACCACCATCATGTGCAAGGATCCCCACAACCCAGAGCTGCCTCAGGTCCCCGGGGGCAGACCCTGCCCTCCTCTCTGGACCGAAGGCCACACTCACGCATTCCTGGAAGGCATTCTCCAGAGCCCCGATCACCACGTCTTCTGGCCGGACGCCCTTTTCCTCCACAAACTGGGGGTCACTGGGGCAGATGCAGTGGCCGCTGAGGTGCATGGGGGGCTGAGTGGCCACCACGCCCTCTACCACAGCCTCCAGCTGCCGGCGCAGGCAGGAGTGCAGGGTGTTGGCAGCCAGGATGGCTGCCGCGGGACCGCCGTGCCCATCGAACAGGGCCCAGTAATGACCTGTGAGGAACTGTGCAGGAAGGGCTTGGCGTCAGGCCCTGCCTGGCTTCCCCAGCTGTCCTCTGGGCCAGCACGAACCAGGACACAGGACAGCAGGGTAGGAACCTCAGCTGGCACTGTGTCCTGGACCCGCCTCTGCGAGGGGCTCAGGCCCACTGTGCTCACCTCCTCTGGGTACAACGTCAGCCACTCCTCATCCTCAGCCCCAAACTCAGATTGCCGTATGCTCAGCTGCCCACAGGCGGCCTGGTCTTCGTTAAACTCGGATTTCTCTGCATTGATGATCCTGAGGCCAGGAAGTGGTCATTGACCCTTCAGGGATACACCCACACCCCCATGACAAGACACCTGAGCTGAGGCACAGAGAGGAGCCCTCCCTCTGAGGCAACAACAGCCCCGTGCTATCCCTGACAGACACCTGGACAACCACTATTTCAGTCTCCTACCTATCCAGTGACCTCATGGCTAAGGAAAAACTCAGAGATCAGCCCTCTGGGGCCCTTGTGCTGACCAGCTGGGAGGTCAGGGTGCAGCTGCCCAGGGAGATCTGGGGCTCCCTTTTCTATCTCAGCCCCATCTTAGCCCAGACCCCTCACCTGTCCCACACAGCACAAACCCAGGGCGGGACGCACCTGTAAGGGTATGGCTCTCCAAGGCCCAGAATGCTGGAACTCTACCCATTTGCACTGCCTCATATTGGAAGCCCTTGGGGTGCAGGTCCTTCCCCACCCCCAACCCTCTCTGAAGGAGGCTGCAGTCCCAAAGAAAAGGTTGGGAAGGGACTAGGGGAGGGTTGTCAAGGGTCCCAAAGTGAGGACAAGAGCGAGTTATCCACAAGGTGGAATGGGGGATGTCGCTAACTCAGCTTAGCCTGTGTTCTGGGTCAGCTCAGGGCCCCAGGCTGGATCAGGCAGGGCCCTGAGGCCGGGGGTCCTAGGGTGGGGGTCGCCCCGGGGTAGGGGGCACTCACTCTGCGTAGCCTGCGTTCCAGGGCAGCACACGGCCCCGTGCTGGGCTGCGCACTGGTCGGGCATCCCGGCGGCGCGAGGCGTCGGCCGGGCCTGAGCCCGAGCCGCGCAGGAAGCGGGGCCGCCGGTAGGGCACCGGGCTGGCACGGGGCCCGGGCGCCCGAGGCGCGGGAAGCGGACCCCCAGGCAGGAGGCGGCGCCGGAACCAGCCGGCGGACATGGCGTGGCGGCAGAGTGCTGCCCGTGGAGGGCCGGGGCGGGAGTGGCGAGCCGGGCATCACCCGCCCGCCCCTGGGAGGAGGAAGCTGGCCTGGGGGGCGGGGCCGGGGCGGTGACGCCCTCAAACCCCAGCCTCTGGCGGCGGCTCCCGGGCTGTCTGGCTCGTCAATATTCACAGCAACCCTTAGAAGCAAGCGCTGTTACCGACCCCACTTTAAAAAAAAAAAAAAAAAAAAAAAAAACCGTTGCCGTTGAGACGATAGCGACCGCATGGGACAGAGTAGAACTGCCCTCATAGGGTTTCCAAGCAGCCACTGGTGGATTTGAAGTGCCGACCTTTTGGTTAGCAGCCAAGCTGTTAACCACAGCGCCACCAGACCCCACTTTAGAAGCAAGAAAACCGAGGCCTGGGGAGGTGAAGTCGCCCCCTGTGTTCCACAGTCACACCAGGCAAGATTGAATGCTCACCCCACGTGTGGAGCACTAGCCCTGGAGAGGGAGAAGTCCCTTCTCCCCACCCAACGAGGATGCAGGGGGGAGGCGGGGAGGGTGCCCTTCAGAGAGCCCCTGGGCCTCCAGGCTAGGTCAGCGCCCGAGGCGGGGCCTCAAGCTTCCTCCCGCTGAACTCAGACCTTATGCAAGAGGAAGATGGGGATGGAATGTCCTTGGAGGTGTCAGACCATACATTGAGCAAGAGTGTCTCAGAGCACCGTGTTCGGTCAGGTGGCCTCCATGCCTCACCCACCCAGCCTGGCACCCTCCACCCTCAGAGGAGGCTTGGTGGTCAGCCTGACCTCCCTGATCCAGAGATTCTACTCCCACCTGGGGCCAGTCTCCCAAACTGCTTCCAACCAAGATGTCCTCTCTGGACAGCAGGATTGATGCACAAGAAGGAGATCCATTTTTAAAGGGGACTCCTGGGTCCCAAAAAGGCACCACTAGTTAAGTTCAGACCTAGGACCAAGGGAAGTGAAAGACTTTCATCTGGGCTGGGGGCGAGATGTTGCGGTCTCTTCACCTCTGGGTAGCTGTCACCATGGGGACAAGGACAGGGTTCCCCTTCACATCTGCATGTGAGCAAAGCACTTTATCACCTTTTTGCCGCTTAAACCCCACTACCTGTGCAGGACTTGTATTCTCATTTCATGAAGGAGGAGTCTGAGGCCCTGAGGCCCAGGATGGGGAAGTCTCCCCAGACACAGGGCTGTGATGTTTCCATTATGAGGCTGTTACTGACTCAAAACCCCCTTCAGGGGATTTCTCTTCCCCTTTCCTCCTCCAGGAAGGCAGGGCTTTCAAACTCAAAGCCCCTGAGGCCCCTGTAGCTCTGTGTCCCCAGGGAGGGTGACAGCAGGAAGCTCTACCTTCACCTCCACTCCCAAGCCTAGGCTCAGGCTCAGTAGGCCCACTTCCTTCCGTCGGCCAGCCCTGCCCCACTGGGATTTCCTCCGGCCCAGGCAGGAGTGTTCTTGGGACAGGGAGCTGTGCCCTACCTCAGATGGCTCAGTTCCAAAGCCGCCTGGGGGCTAATTTACTGAACCCACTGTATGTGCCAGGCCCCACATGGGGCATAGGAGCACGGTGCTGGTGGAGATGAGCCGGACGCCTGCCCACTCTGAGCTCCAGTGCAGTGATAGTAGAGGTCCTGGCACTGCAGGTGGTGCTTGATCCAACTGTTGAGGGGGTGGGAGCAAGGTCAGGGAACTTTTCAAAGGATATCTGAGCTGCGACCTGTCATTGGGACAGAAATGGACCAGATGTTGCTGGGTGGAAACCCCAGGTTCTGCTCAGCGCGACTCATCTCAGCCAATAAAGGTGAGAGTGAGGTGGGAGAGTAGAAAGTTGCCTTCATTTCGTTGCACAAGGAAAGGAGCAGTCGGGGCTGCTGCCGCCAAGATTGCTCAGCGAGGGAGGGGGGAAGGTCACTTTCATGCGGTTTACAAGCAGGAAGTTCATACACGTTACATCAGCAACATTCTTAATCATACTAGGCAGGCCAGTGAGGTTTACATATAACTTCATGCATCACGTGTTCAGAAAACGGTGGTTAAACTCCACTCAGAGGTGGGGAAGTTACTATGTACGAGGTATTTAATGAGCTAAAATGTTATCCTGAAGTCAACATGGCGCCTAAACCAGCATCCACCAATTTCCTCTGGTTTTGGGAAGCAGTTAAGGAGAGGGGAACCGGGATTTTAATGTAAAGTTACAGGGCATGTCAAGCAAGCTGCTTGAGGCAGTGGAATTTTCTGCAGCCTGGGGACCTCTGTCTTACAGGGACCCAGGATGGGGAAAGCCCAATTCAGCCTGTGGGGTTACTTCCTCACCTCAACCAGTTGATTGTTCAGAGGCTTCTAAAGTCTGAAATTAGAAGAAATGACACAGTGTATTTTCCAAGCCACGGTCTCAGTCTCACCCGGGCAGGGTGCAAGTCCTGACCTCTAAGGTGTATTCACAGAAGCAGCCAGATGACACAGGCAGTTTGCTGCCCAGTTTGTTGGCAGTCCCATTCGTCCTGTTCCAAGGTGGCCTGAGTGTTCCTTCAGTGTTACCCAGTCTCCCCTGGCTCCCTACACTGCTCTCCTAGGCGCCTCTGCTTTTGCCTAGAGCCTATGCCTGGCGCTCTTGGTTTATTCTCTCGTGTTGCTGAAGTACATCATCCAACAAGGATGACTGGGAGGTAATTTCCTGGGTCCCTGCAAGACTGAAAGGAGCCTTGCTGATACAATGGTTCAACACTCAGCTGCTAACTGAAAGGTCGGCAGTTCGAATCCACCAGCTGCTCTGTGAGAGAAACATGTGGCAGTCTGCCTCTGTAAAGATTACTGCTTTGGAAACCCTATGGGGGCAGTTCTACCCTGTCCCATAAGGTCGCTATGAGTCAGAATTGACTCAGTGGCAGACGGTTTGGTTTTTGTTTGTTCGTTTTGCAGGTCTGAAAGGGTTTGTATTCTGTCCTTGCTCAGAATTGTGACTGCTCTGTTCATTGTCTTTTGGCTCAGTTGCTGCTGCTGAAACCTAGTGCCCTGCTCACTGCCGATCTTTGGACAAGTCTGTGTTTGCCTTTTTCTCTCTCCAGATTCTTCCAGGCTCTTCTCTCTGTCACTGGTGTCTAAAATTACAGGTGAGATCCCTTGGGATTGATTGGTCTTCACTCCTGGGCTGGGCCCTCTCTGGAGACCATGAATTCCCTCACTCCTCAGCAACTCCCTCGTGCCAACAATTTGAATGAACCCAAGCCTGCCCCCTCCTGGCTAGAAGCCTCTCCTCAGCTAACTCACTCAGCACATGGTGGGGTGGCGGAGTGTCTTAGTCATCTAGTGCTGCTGTAACAGAAATACCACAAGTGGATGGCTTTAACAAAGAGAAATTTATTCTCTCAAAACATAGGAGGCTAGAAGTCCAAATTCAGATGCTAGCTCCAGGGGAAGGCTTTCTCTGTCTGTCAGTTCTGAGGGAATGTCCTTGTCATCAATCTTCCTCTGATCTAGGAGCTTCTCAGCACAGGAACCTCAGGTCCAAAGGACAAGCTTTGCTCCCGGCATTGCTTTCTCGGTGGTATGAGGTCCCCATGTCTCTCTGCTCGCTTCTCTCTTTTATATCTCAAAAGAGATTGATTTAAGACACAACTAATCTTGTAGACTGAATCCTCTTCGTTAACATAATTGCTGCTAATCCCACCTCATTAACATCATAGTGGTAGGATTTACAACACATGGGAAAATCACATCAGATGACAAAATGGTGGACAATCACACAACACTGGGAATCATGGCCTAGCCAACTTGACACATTTTTTGCGGGACACAGTTCAATCCGTAACAGGGAGTAAGCCTAGGAAAAAGAAAGAAGATTTTCATGCCACATTTTTTTTTCACTCACAATGAAAATAGCTTTTATTGAGTCCTGTATTTGTCCTTTCCACCACTAGTCTGTCAGTTTTTCATACTATGGTGACTTGCATGTTGCTGTGATACTAGAAGCTTTGCCACTAGTTATTTCAAATACTAGCAGGGTCACCCTTGATGGACAGGTTTCAGCGGAGATTCCAGACTAAGACAGACTAGGAGAAGGACCTGGCAGTCCACTTCTGAAAAAACCGGCCAGTGAAAACGTTACGAATAGCAGAGGAACACTGTCTGATACAGTGCCAGAAGATGAGCCCCTCGGGTTGGAAGGCACTTAAAATACGACTGGGGAAGAGCTGCCTCCTCAAAGAAGAGTCAACCTTAATGATGTAGATGGAGTCAAGTTTTCGGAATCTTCATTTGCTAATGTGGCATGACTCAAAATTAGAAGAAACACCTGCAAACATCCATTAACAATCAGAACGTGGAATGTACGAAGAATGAATCTAGGAAAATTGAAAGTTGTCAAAAATGAAATGGAATGCATAAAGATCGATATCCTAGGCAATAGTGAGCTGAAATGGACTGGTATTGGCCATTTTGAATTAGACAGTCATATGGTCTACTACAGCGGGAATGACAAATTGAAAAGGAATGACGTCACTTTCATTGTCAAAAAGAACATTTCAAGATCTATCCTGAAGTACAACGTTGTCAGTCATAGGATAATATTCATACATCTACAAGGAAGACCAGCTAATAAGACTATTATTCAAATTTACGCACAAACCAACCACTAATGCCAAAGATGAGGAAATTTAAGATTTTTACGAACTTCTGCAGGCTGAAATTGGTCAAACATGCAATAAAGATGCATTGATAATTACTGGTGATTGGAACGGGAAAGTTGGAAACGAAGAAAACATGGCCTTAGTGATAGAAACGATGCTGGAGATGTCATGATAGAATTTTGCAAGACCAATGACTTACTCATGCAAATACTTTTTTCAACAACATACACGGCAACTATACACGTGGATCTTACCTGATGGAAAACACAGGAATCAAATCGACTACATCTGTGGAAAGAGATGATGGAAAAGCTCAGTATTGTCTGTCAGAACAAGGCCAGGTGCCCACTGCAGAACAGACCATCAATTGCTTATATGCAAGTGCAAG